ATATATACACACACATAATTGTATATATTTTATTTTCTAAAGGCAACGAGAGAAGTGGGAATTGGTCATTTTTAACATTTGCAACGTCAGACGTCACACCCCCCCCCCCCTCCCCAAGAAAAGCAAAAAAAAATTTTTGTTAAAGATAAAAAAGCAAAACAGATAGCAACAACACCCAAACCTTTTCCATATTTCTTGATACACTCCAGTGCGAGAGCGGCTTCACCCAGCTCAGAGAAGGTTTCGGCGACAATGAAATCTGCTCCTTCTTCTACGGCCCATTCTATTTGCTCCTGTTGGGGGGAAGGGGGGAGGGGATGGGAGAGGTGAATGATTATTCATGAGACTCTAAAAATAACTTATTTACATTTTGCTTTTTCTGCTATCTTATACGGCTCCGTGTTAAGGAAAGATGTAATTCGTCTGACGTACGGGAGGTGTGCTAGCAAACTGCTTTTTGGATCCTCGTTCTGTTGTGCCCTTTGTGCTGGGGCTCTTTGGCTCTATGTGAATAAACTGCTGTATTTCATGTGCATTTCAGTTTTTGCCAGAGTTTTATGGCTTTTGCACTGCAATAAGCTCACATTAATGCCGAGAGAAGATTACAAGCGAGGGACAGATATAAAGAAAAGAAAGAGGAGAGATAGATGAAGATGATAAATGCTTAAGAAGAGCGGTCAACAAAACAAGAAGAGACAAAATTAAAAAATGAAGTCATAAGGGACACCGTGGGAGCAACACATACTTCCTGCGGACACTCTTTTGGCTGAGTGGCCCATCTTGTTATTTACTATCTTTGGTATGACCAAAGATCGTACATAACAAGATGGCCCAGTAGGCCAAAAAAGTGTCGGCCGGAGTCCGAAATTTGAATTCTTATTTATTCTAAAACATGTTACTTTCACTTTGATTTTTTTCACACATGTAGGGTAACTCTGCTCGCAAAGGGTACGCTTTTGTGAAGAGGGCGCACCGAATTTTGAGGACACTTTTTTAATTGGCTCAAAAAGAGGAGTGGACCATCTTGTTATGTATGATCATTGGTATAACTTGAAATAAACAAACCTGGCGGATTTTCTAAAATTACAGAGACAGACGCGTCTGCCTACAAAAGCGAGAGACGAAACAAAAACAATTAGCGCGCGCGCGCGCACACACACACACACACACACACACACACACACACACACACACACACACACACTTATCTATACACACATACTCAGAGCTTTTAAAAAAACCTAACATCGAAGACAGTAAACAGAATATAATTACTAAAATATCTTTAGTTTACTCAATACACTAACAGCCAGATGAGATTTTGTCTCAGATTAAAGAAACAACAGAAATTTCATTTTGAACGAGTTGGCTTTTTGAAGTTGTAGGAATTTAGACTTTGAGAATGTCTTTAGTAAAGTGGCATCGGTAGTCTAAATATTAGGCTACGTGACATGCAATCGTGAGGTTGTCGGTTCTGTGGTTTGAGGCTCAGGCCCAACGTTGTGTCCTTGGAAATGGCACTTTACATACATTTCCCTCACTTCGTAGAAAACGAAAATCTTGTCAGTATGTCAGTGTATAGAGCCTGAATAAGGAATGCTATCAAGTCTGCTGGGGTAGTAACATTATTGGTCGTAAAGCTCTTAGAGCTTGCAGTTTAGCGCGAATTTGCGCTGTACAAATGCTAGATCTAGTATTCTTTAATCATGAGCAGTTATGATGGCGGTTGTTACAGAAGCGCAATATTATTTAGGGATGAGACAATCATGCTGGGCCAGGATGTACCGAGATTCATGAAGGTGGCCAGGGACAGGTAAGCGTGAGGTCAATTACTCTCCGCCTTATGTACCTGGCGGTATAGGGACAAGTAAGTAAGTAAGTAAGTAAGTAAGTAAGTAAGTAAGTAAGTAAGTAAGTAAGTTAGTAAGTAAGTATGTAAGTAAGTATGTAAGTGGGTAGGTAGGTAGGTAGGTTTGTAAGTAAGTAAGTGAGTAAGTAAATGCGTAAGTAAGTGAGTAAGTAAATAAGTAGGTAGTTAGATAGGTAGTTAGGTAGGTAGGTAGGTAGGTAGGTAGGTAGGTAGGTAGGTAGGTAGGTAGGTAGGTAAGTAGGTAGGTAGGTAGGTAGGTAGGTAGGTAGGTAAGTGAGTAAGTAAATGAGTAAGTAGGTGAGTAAGTAAGCGAGCAAGTAAATCATGAGTACCTTGAACATAGCCTCGCATTCCTTAATGGACTCCGGTTTGTCTTTCTGGTACAACGTCGTGTTACAGATGTTGCCCGCCATCAGCGTCCCCGTTGCCTTGGCAACCTCTCTGGCTATCTTCAGAGCGCCTCTGTTCATCTTCTCCAGGTCCCCCTCCCGTCCGATGACTTGAAGCTTCCTCCTATGGCCGTAATACTGCGTACATAAACGTGAGTAAATGGGAGGCCGATTGACAAAATTAGGTTGAGAATATGTCGCTACACAAGAATTGCAAAGTTCTATCTGCTCACGACCTAGTTTTGAGAAATTTTAAGCAAAGAATTTGAGTTTCACAACATGTCGAGCTTTTTCGAACTCAAGCCTTTGGATAATATCTTGAAAACAACTACGAATACTGTAAAGATTTTGAGAGAGCACATAGACTATTAATTTGGTACCCTGACCCCATGGTCTTGATAACTCAAAACGGCTAGAGATGTCCGGTAGAACTTCGTGATTCTTAGTTAGCGATGTGCTTACAGTGAAAGCTAGAACAACGTGACGTGGCGAAGTGCTTACAGTGAAAGCTAGAACGACGTGACGTGGCGAAGTGCTTACAGTGAAAGCTAGAACGACGTGACGTGGCGAAGTGCTTACAGTGAAAGCTAGAACAAAGTGACGTGGCGAAGTGCTTACAGTGAAAGCTAGAACAACGTGACGTGGCGAAGTGCTTACAGTGAAAGCTAGAACAAAGTGACGTGGCGAAGTGCTTACAGTGAAAGCTAGGACAAAGTGACGTGGCGAAGTGCTTACAGTGAAAGCTAGAACAACGTGACGTGGCGAAGTGCTTACAGTGAAAGCTAGAACAACGTGACGTGGCGAAGTGCTTACAGTGAAAGCTAGAACAACGTGACGTGGCGAAGTGCTTACAGTGAAAGCTAGAACGACGTCACTTCCGGAGTGGACAAACTCCTCCGTGACGTTCTTGACCAGGTCGGGATGCTCGATGACCACTTCCGGCACAAAGGCTCCCGCCTTGAGGTACCCACGCCGCTCAAACTCGAACAGATAACCCTCGGCAACCACCAGGTTCCCGCCATTCTCCAGGCGCTTGAGAAAAGCTGGGGGGGAATAAAAAATGGTGAGCGAAAAATGTGAAGTAATGTGCGAAGATCTGAAGAAAAAAAAACGTGCAATCCAAATACAGTAAAAAGTAAAGTTGTTCCGATGGGCCGGCCATGTTCACCGCATGGACGACTCTCGCCTCCCAAAGAGGCTACTCTACGGTGAACTGACCCAAGGCAAACGCTCTCTCGGCGGACAAAAGAAACGCTTCAAAGATGCTCTGAAAGCTTCCCTGAAGAGTTGTGACATTCCCCATACCACCTGGGAAGAAGCTGCTCGCGACCGCACAGTTTGGCGCTCCTTAATAAGATCGGGTGTGGCGAAATTTGAAGAAAGTCGCGTCAGAAAGAAAGAATGGAGACGGCAGCTGAGAAAAGACCGAGAGAGCCCTACCTTCCAGCCTAATTAAGCCCCAAACATCCCCTGCCCTCACTGCAACAGACATTTCCGTGCGAAGATCGGCCTGATCAGCCATCTCCGCACACACCCCACCCCTCCAGTGATGTGAAGTCAAGGTAATCTTCGCCAGCGAAGGACGAACATCATCAAAAAGTAAAGTTGTTCCTGCATACGATCCGGACATTGGGGATTGCCTTGTTAGTGAGACAACTTCCTGGGCCTTCCGCATATTGTGGTAACTTAACTTCCCCAACTCGAAGTCAGGTACCCATTACTGCTGGGTGGGCAGGAGGGGGCGAAAAAAGCCGTGTCCGAACTAAATATAGAATCTAGATTATTTAAAAATTTTAATTAAAAAAGCACGTGTGAACATGTGAAAAAACGTGGAAACAAGATATGATAATGGGGCTCCAGTGGCTTAGTGAGCAATGAGTTTAGACTCAAGTAATGTCAAGCAAGTGTCGGTGACACGGGGATCAGATGGGTGGTCGCTGGGGTGTGTCCTTGAGCAAGACACGACAACCCTAGCTCAAAATACAGGGCGCTGCACAGTGGCGACCGACAGTGGCATGGTTGTAAACTGTTTCGTATTTGTGTAATATTGTGTATTTATGTATATGTGTATTTATGCATTTATTTATGTATGTACGGATTTATAATTATGTATTTATGTATGTGAATGTATGTTTGCCATTGTAAACCAAAGTACCCTTCCGGGGCAAATAAAAGTGTAAATTTTATTATTATTATTATTATTATTATTATTATTATTATTATTATTATTATTATTATTATTATTATTATTATTATCATTATTATTATTATTATTATTATCATCATTATTATTATTATTATTATTATTATTATTATTATTATTATTATTATCATTATTATTATTATTATTATTATTATTATTATTATTATTATCATTATTATTATTATTATTATTATTATCATCATTATTATTATTATTATTATTATTATTATTATTATTATCATTATTATTATTATTATTATTATTATTACCATCATTATTATTATTCAATTGTTATTTATTCTATTAGTATTATTAGTAGTAGATTATTATTATCATTATTATTATTATCATTATTATTATTATTATTATTATTATTATTATTATTATTATTATTATTATTATTATTATTATTATTATTATTAGTAGTAGTAGTATTATTATTATTATTATTATTATTATTATTGGGTGGTTAATCGGGTGCTCTGGTGTGGTTTGCTTCTTCTTTCCTATCGAACATCTATATTCCTTATCTCCCCTTCTTTTTTCTATTTGTTACTCTCTTGTAACACCTCTAATCTTCTGGCGCTCATATGAGCTTTTGCAGTTGCGAACGCCGTTAAACCTTTACTTAAACAATAACTATTATTACTATTATTATTATTATTATTATTATTATTATTATTATTATTATTATTATTAGTAGTAGTAGTAGTAGTAGTAGTAGTAGTAGTAGTAGTAGTAGTAGTAGTAGTAGTAGTAGTAGTAGTAGCAGTAGCAGTAGCAGTATCATTATTATTATCATTATTATTATTTTTAATAGTAGTAGTAGTAGTAGTAGTAGTAGTAGTAGTAGTAGTAGTATCATTATCATTATCATTATTATTATTTTTAGTAGTAGTAGTAGTAGTAGTAATAGTAGTAGTAGTAGTAGTAGTAGTAGTAGTAGTAGTAGTAGTAGTAGTAGTA